TGCAGAGTAGCACAATGTACTGGTGCTCAATCGATCGAAATCGAGACTAGCCTAATTTCGGGATCTCGGTGATTTATTCTCCCGAGATTTTACTGCGGGGTACAACCGCTGCTTCTGCGAATGACAAAACGCGATTAGAATAGGCGAAATTTTAATCGCGTCTTATCACCCACTTCGTTATGGGGATCGCTGATGCCCCAAATGTTTCTTTCGGAAGGTCCAGAGACGCTTCCTTATTTACTTCGTACTCTGAGCGGGGCACAGCCGCCGCTTTTCTACTTCAATAATGGGGATCACTGATGCCCCAAGTGTTCAACTTGGAAGGTCCTAAGACACCTCCTTGTCTGATGTAGCGGGGCACAGCCGCCGCGTTATTGTTCCTCTTGTGGGGATCACTGATGCCCCAACGTGCTTCTTCTGGAAGGTCCTAAGACACTTCCTTAGTAGTCTGAGCGGGGCACAGCCGCCGCTTTTCTTATTCCTCTGCTGGGGATCACTGATGCCCCAACGTTCTAGTAAGCGGTTCGGCCCCCAAGTGGCTACTGGATAGCCTAGAAATACGTTGCGGTAGTACCGCGCTCGACTCCCTAGAACGCTCAAGTAACGAATCGTTTATCGGCAAGAAATACGAAGAGGAACGAGCGACGAAAAAAAAACTCAAATGTGCGCACGAACAGAAACAAAACAACAACTGATGGCAATACTGCCCTAACGGGCGGAGACAACACGAGGTCAAAGTTTTGGCGCGCTTTCGCAACACCGTGATCTTCAATAAGTGACTGCACGAACCCTTAAGATAGCTACCGCGCATAATGAGATGCAAAAGAGATCCAGAGTAGCAAGAGAACAACACGTAACAAGAAAAAAGGACAAAACACAAAACAAAACACAAAACAATATTGCCTAACGGTTTACCTAAGAAACTCAATAAGCGGATCTAACCTAGTCAAGAAAAACAGAGATACCGTATACCACAAATGACACCCCGGTTACAGTACACTCACAAAAATTTCCATAAATCACTAACTACCAACTGTACCAACTAACAATGTACCAACACTTATGTATCGTACATCCCCCAGAATTGTTCCCAGGTAAAGGCTACTGCATGACGGGCGCAGAAGCGGCATTAGTTGTGCAGACGCGAACGCGACGCGCGCGTAAATATCTTCACCGTAAAAATTGTGCGCCTCTCGCGCTCTGCGGCTAATAAAGCCGCGCGCCCAAAGGTATTGCACCTTCGTCATGCAGGGAGGGCAAGCGTTAAGCCCTGGCCATACGTACAGCGATTTCATCGTCGCGATTTCATCGCCGAAGAATTTTGTGATTGTAGCGACGAAATCGCGACTATCAAATCGCTCATCGCGGGTTCTGGACATACCTACCTGTTCAGCGATAAGGTGAAAATACACACCTCAGCTCTCGTTCTACGTTTTCTTTTGCCATCCAAAAGCAGTATTTAGCGTGATTTCTTTACATCTGCAGATTTTTTGTCTTTTTTCGACACCAGTACGTCCAGCATCAACATTTCATATTAGTTCCCGCATTTACATCTTCATTCAACTTTTCGTGTTAGATACAAGATGCAAAAGCAATTTTCTCAAGTTGTAATTGCGGTTTTGCTGATTTTTCGCGAAATTTAGATACCTAAATACTACGCATGTTATTCAATTACGAGTTTCGAACAATTAAAAATGTTCATTTTGACTGATGGTACGAATTAGAAAAGACGCGCATCACAACACGACAGAAGTGCAATTGCGAAGTGCAAAAGGAAATCTGCATCACATTTCAACATCACTGCAGAAAAAGCAAGTCGAAAAGGAAAAGAACTATCTCAAAAACCTTCAGGGAAGAATTCCAATTCCAGCGATATCGCCCCGTCGCAGGTTTCAAACTTGCGACGCGATATCGCAAGATTTCGGTCAAATCGCGGCGATATCGCTGGAATAGGTATGGCCTAGGAAAACACGGTCAGCGATCCGTCGCGCCGGACAGCTAGCACGACCGATATGCATAATTTGGCGGCATGAAACAGGGGGTATTGCAGTTGTCCGATTGCACAAATCGCATCGCGGTGATTTTTTTGACGGTATGGCCAGGGCTTAAGGCGACAAAACGTGCAAAACGCAAGCAGCGTAAATCCCGTAACTCAAAACTATGCATCATTTTTTCATTGGCGTCGGGTAATGTATCGGCCCCGACCCCCACCACCTGTTTTTGGCGGAGGAGACGTTTTGCACGGGGAGTTCTTTGGGGTCCAAAAAATTGGGTTTGTCGCCTAACGCCCTACACCCGTCATGCAGCAGCCTGTACCAACGTGGCTGCCTTCCGATCGTTTTGACATGTCAACATCGAAAAAGCGCATCGAATTTGCTGGAGTTAACGTGCTAAAACGATCCTTGCCTTGCCCAAGTCATGCATTTGATTACACCGTCCACCCAGATTTTCGACTTCCACGTTTTTGTCGTTTCTTGGCCTTCTCATGTCCCTGATTCCGAATATGAAGTCGGGAATGCTCGAAAACCCCGACAATCCCCGTTCCGGAGAACCCATAGGCCGGCTTTTCAGAACGGTGATTGGATGGGCGCGCACAAATGGGCGGGCATGGATGGGGGTCCTCGTGCATCTTCGCTATTCCGAAGCGATTTTCTCGCTTCCGAAACGGCATTTTGCGCCGTGACTTGGGCATTGGATTGATAGAGGGCCTTACTATTATATGCTGCTAAAACCTCAACACCCTCAGCTTAGGGTGGACGGTGCCTTTAAGGCCCCGGACAGACTTTATGCGATTTGATCGTCGCGACTCAATCGCCGACATTTCCATTCATGTTCATTTCACATTCAAAAATTTCGGGCTGGAAAAGTATCACAACCGAAATGCAAGTCGATGGCATGGAATGATATTGTAACAGTTGTCTCGTCGCGATTCAGTCGCGACAATCAAATCGCGTGAAGTCTGTCCGGGGCCTAATAGTAACTATGGGAACAACTCCGGAGGATGCACGATATGTATAAATTAAAATAGTTTTGATAATATTCTGAGGATCAGATAACTCCAAAAAATATTTTCCGGAACATGATTGCCGCAGCCCTTTTTCTTGAGGTTTGGGGTCATACGCCAGTGAAAACTCGGAAAACGTCACAAAAAAATTTTTTTAGGGCGCTACTAACGTCACACTCATTCATCCAATTCATTTATTCATAGGAAGAACTCCTAAGGTTTCGTGAAGCCGAAGTCAAACATCCAGCTACCATCGTTCCCCAAGAATCATCTGACAACATCTAGACACTGATTGATTTTGCACAGTCATATACGAGCGAACATAAGCCCTCGCGCCGATGAAAATATTGAAAAACATTAGAAGGTCAGTCACATCGCGAATCTTCGCCCAAGTCACGTCATGTAAACAAAGATGCAGCAAACACACTGAGACCGTGAATTGTCGAAAGCGTAATTTCAAAGAGAAAGCTAGCTATGTATAGTAAGATGGACAAATCCAATTACAAGAAAATTTCTGGGAGCCAGTGCGCATAATCGGCGGCAGTTTCGCTTTCACATGTCGTCAGTGGAAGATTGTAGATAGGTCACTAGCGTTCATCGTCTATTCTATGACCAGGAGACGCGAGACCGCATTGCGGACATTGACTTAACAAGTCTGAGTTTCTTCTTCCCTGTTTGCAAAGAGTGGATAAACCTGGACGAAATAAAAACAAGTATAAGCATGCTAAGTACCCAATCAGGCTTGTACAGACAATGACTGCAATGCGGTCTCGCGTCTCCCAGCCATATCAGGGCCCGGCACAAATAGTCTGAGGTTAAACTGGACTTCGTTTTTGATGTTAGAAGCAACGAGGGCTGCTCTTTCTACCTGAGCAAAGTCTGTGTTATTGAACTCTTCTATAAGAAATCATGATTTTCGAACAAGCAATAAAAAACGGCAAATTTTTTTGATATCGGCTTTTCGAAAACCATATCTTTTCAGAGAAACGCTCAACCGACAGAAACTTCGCCCAAATGGAAAGAGCAGGTCATGAATCTCATAGTATCGATCTTTGCTGGTTTCAGATTTTCTACGAAGAAAAACCGATTGAGTAATATTTTCACAGCTTATGTCTCTGCATTGATGCTTGATAGAGGGACTTTGAAGTGTTAATGTAAAGCGCATGATCTCCCCTTACTACCAAAATTGAAGAGCGAACACTCCGAAGAAATGAGAAGTTATGAATTTTTGAAAATGGTGCGAACTTTTGGGACGACAAACCACGTAGATTATTAGCTTGGTTGGTAATCTCAACTTGATTTGTATAAGGATGCCGAGGTTCCGATAAAAATGCTAAAACGCTCGTGACATTTCCACGATAAAAAATTGCAAAATTGGCAAATTGAAACAAACCTTGAAGGAAAAAAATGAAAAATGACACTACTGTCGAAAAAAATTCCAAATTTTCCTCCTTTGTTATTTGCTTCCCAATCATAAACGAAAACAATAAATTGGAGGATTTAGAAACGAAAACAAAATTGAGCGAAGATACTCCGTAAAACTTCATTTCGATAAAGGGATGGCAATAAGACTGCGGGATTGTTTACATTCTTCTTTTACACAATAAATGAGTGGAAACCGTCAAAGTTCAAGAATCTTTGCAATGATAATAAGGAGCATACACAATTGTTACAATGACACAAGATATAGAAGATATTACAACGATACAATGCGTGAGATTTGCTTTGTTTGATAAGAAACTAATACATGAATATATAAAAGAATTGTAAGAACTGTGCAGCTGCAGCGAAACAGGCATACGGCTATCTGTCAGTCGTCTCCCGAGTTTTAGCTGCAAATGCGAAATGAATGTCCAAAGAAAAAAGCCAATAAACATACCGGCTCATGCTAACATGCTCATGATCAAGAAGCTGCTTCTTCAAATACGCTGTGAGCTCATCAAAGAGCAAGTAATTACCACGCAACTGCACATCAAACTCGCAGCCAACAATTATACTAGCTAAATTAAGAGGTCTAGGAGGATAAAACCGAAAGTAATGATAAACCTACTTGATATTATTTCTACCATAAAAGACGGAATTCTTTGCGGCTCCTCCGGAAAGTATGCTCCTGACAGCCTGTAATTCTGCAATTAGATAATGCCTGGAATTGGTATAGAAGATGACTGCAACTCACTTCAAAAAAATGGGATGCGAACGAGCAAACCACGGTTTCCAGGCATCTGGTAGGTGCAAGCACCACGTTAACAAATATATCGTTTGCTGAGAAGAATACATATTCACCGCCACACCATATAGACTCGGACTTCTTCGAGAATTTGCGTGCGTTGACTGTTTCACATACAAACAATAGCTGCAATAATCAAAACTGGAAAACATTACCTTAACATTCAATGCAAACCTCTGGAAAATCGATATACTTGCATTCTGGGTTATGCTTTCTTGCTTTTCTTCTGCGCGCTACGGAGATTCGCCTTTCGTTAGTCTGTTTACTGCACTTCTATAAAAAGAACTAAGTTGAATCGAGAAGATCGAGGCTTCCCTGGCGGAAAGAGGATTTGATGACCATCAGCAGAGTACCGACGATGATCAGGTTGGGAGCAGCCATAGCACAAAGAGAAACGCTCCAGGGAGTTCAAAATAGCCGTCAAAAGCGGCGAACCTCAGTCCCTTGAACAGAACTAGCTATAAAACCCTGTTGAGAGGGTCAAGTCGGACAGATCCTCATCGATGTGTCGCCAGAGTTCTGATAGAGTGGAATCCAAGTTGTTCGTTGCTGTTCGTCATTAAGATAACATATTAGTCGTTCAAACCGTGTCTTGTCTACCGATGATAGGGTTCCTTCACACTACGCCGCAGGAAGCGGCATGCTGCGATAGGCTGCTGAGAAGTTACTAGTATGAGTGCCGTCGTTTATAGGGCTTAGTGTGCAATCTCACATATTAAGTTACAAATGACCAGAGGTTAATAGCTTTGTAAAATATGATGATGTTTTATGGGGAGAGTAGGTGAATTATATTTACTTACTGCTTTACTTTGGCGCTAAAACTCCACTTAATATTACTCCGTATAAGAGTTAGGAAATTTTCTATGCCTTGTCAACTAGTTCTAGAGTCAGAAATGTAAAAAATGGAGCAATAGAAAAATGCAGCATTCATAGTCAAATAATTCTCAAGAAATATCGAGACTTTTTTTATTCTTCCCTTGGAGCTCTCTGCTTCTGGTTAAGCAGCTCCTGCCATTTCTTCACCATACATGGGATTCATTAGAATGAAGGTTGTGGGCATGTGTGGTTTTATGGGTTTGTGATCTCCAAATTATTCGTTTGTGCGCTCAAGTAGATAAATGGAAATATTGATCGACTCCAAAAATTGAGATTTAGTATTATTTTTTCCGCTGCCTGCAAAACCGCTATCTAATTGCGAGCTCTTTGTGAGCTAAATTCTCAAATATCGGAAAGGTATATATTAAATCATTCCGGAAGCAATTTCTTTTTCAGAGGGGCGCCAAATTCTGAAGAATGGTCATGAAATTGTTGAGCATAGTCAATGAGCTTTCAATTACCAACATCTGCGCCTCCCATGCTTTTTGAGCTGGTTAAGTTTCACAACTTTTCTAAACTTTTATATCAACTCTCCGAAGAAGTAAAAGTGACGTATCTATGCTGCAAACCGTACGGGATGCAAAATTATTTCCTTATTTCCACAGCTTGTCGTACTTTTCTGATAGAATTTCAACTGATGCCCAACTTCATATTTGGTCAGCTAAATCCTCGTAGAACATCAAAGGAAGGGTAGCTCGGGTACTAATTCGATGCAGCTTTTTCTCCGCTTTCTTTTCGGTAATAAAACCATCACAACTTACGTTTTGTACGCGCTTCACGCTGTACCCGAAAGATTCGAATTGATGTTTCGAATCTGTAAACTCTTAGTGTTAAATCATAGCACCATCTTGGATGTCTCGAATTCCGAATAAATACTGATGTTTGGTGCGATTGTGGCTAGCGTAAACCTGCCTTGATAAAAAATAACCTTTTGAAATCTTGGCGAGATATAAAAAAGGGAAAAAAGTTGTGCTGTATCCTATAAGGTTTGCGCTATCGAACCGTTACTTGAACTCCTTCGGAGAAGTGATGTACAAGTTCAGAAAAATTGTAAAACTCAAACCATCCCAAGCATGGGTAGCAGATCTTGGTGATTTTCCGAGGGCTCATCGAATATGCGGCAACTATTCTGTAGTCGTTAATAAGAGGATGAAATGCGGTTCGATTCTGTCAAGATCTCTTAGAAATCTTTATTCCATCAAATATGGCAACCCTTTGAAGAAAGTGAAATTACTTTTGGATGACCTAATAAATATAGCCTGATCAAGTATATCGGATATTCAAGCATCACTCGTACAGCCTTTAGAGTAGACACTGGAAGCTCTCTGCTTGATATTATCATTTTCATCGTCATTCTCCACCGCAATGTTCTCATGCGAAACCGATGGCTTTTCTTCTGGAGCAGGAGCATCATTTCCAATGCCTTCCTTTTTTCATAACAGAACTGGAATGCTTTTCAAAAAGCGTTTTATGCTCAAATATCTCATTAAATGAAACAGACAGGGAGAAAGTTGGATCACCCGCCTTTGAGGTTTGCGAAGAGCGCTCATCGTGCGTTTGCTGGCACACATACTTGGGCCGATTGTGACAATCCCAAAAAAAGGAAAAAAATTAGAAAATTAGAAATGCAAGCACGAATTGATGCATGGTTAAGTTTCATGTTTCTGGAGTGCTTAACATTGTCAGGTCATGCGAATTGTAGCTAAGCCATCCAGAAAATACTGTCGACTTTTTGATTTGTTCTTTTTGGCAGGGATTTTCTACAGCGGCCGATAGATAATATTTGTTCTCTTTTTATCCTAGCATACATCGAGGTCATGCGGGGTCCGTTCTTCGAGTCAGATGTTGCCACATTTTTCTATTTGAGTCAAATTCTTCCTCTATCCCAATTATAGGCAGAAAGGCTTCACTTTTGTCCATAATGAGCCATCTTGGTCTCTTGTGACTATCGTTTCCTTCGTGCGCATGACCGTACCATAGCAGTATCCTTTCCTGCATTCATCAGACGTTTAGAGGGCCTAATATTTGGGATCGCTTTGAAGCAATGCATATGTGGACTTTCAGTGTGAGGTGCATGTGGGCTTCCGATTTCAATCAAGAGTCCATTTTAGAATGCGTTTCCATCTCACTTACTGCGCTCCTCAGCGGGTATAACGTTCGATATAATAAGAATTTAAGCTGCACTAACATTTGTCTGTCTCACAGACTCGTATCAAAGCCCACCACTCCTCCCTGGCTGTGTGCCTGCCGCTTCCTCTTTTGGACCTCTTCCCACCGAATGTCCAAGGTACTTGTATGAAGTCGTTTTTCTTAGCTCTTCACCATAGGGATTATCGCTAGAAAACCATTATCATAGCAAAAAACTGTCAACGTTCCGTTACGCCAGATAAATACAACAACGGCCATTGCGCAATCATTGTGTGGTCATTCCGCGAATATTGCGCAGCGACTAATCGCGAGCATCATGCCCTAGGCTTCGCACGGAAAACGGTAGCAGATGGCGATTTCAGTCAGGATACTTGGAGATAGAAGCTGGAGCGAACGATGGATTCACCATGGCAAACTTCAGATCAGGTAAAATACTGAATATGCAAGAAGATAGATAGGCGATGGCAAACTAGATGCAAGCATGTAGTATTCAGTGGGGCTTCAGTCAAAGGACACTGAATTATTAGGTTGTAAAGAAAGTTCCTGGGCACTTTTGGAAATTTTATTTTCAAACGCCTTTTTTCGGCGCTCGGTCGGACTTTGACACCAAGTTTCTTATACTGTTCAGTAGAGGGAAGTCTGAAGTTTTCAATACCGCTTCTGATTTCTATCGGCCAAGATGTGTTTGACCTGCACATCAAAAAAGGAAATCTTTCCAATCATAAAAATTTCGCAATTTTTCTTCCTGCGCCCATTTTTCTGTGCTGTTCAAAGAATTTCGTCCAAATCATGAGTGATCTGATTGAAGCTTTGAATATATATATATATATATATCAGTGGCGTACCGAGTGGGGGGGGGCGGGGGAGGCGCCCCTCCCCCCGAGAATGGGTCGCGGAATTTTTGAAAGTTAATTATATGGGTTATAAAAATGTGCAAGTGACTTGTTTATTTTTGTGAATAATTAAAATAATTTTTAAAAATTTTTGAAAATCCAAATTAGCCTTATAAAAAAATTTTTCGCGGGCGTGGCTAACGCCACACCCCCTTTTTCCAGACTTTAGAGATCGGGGACCCGCAAAAGTTTTGAGAAACACCCCAAAAATTTTTTCGGAGTGCGTGGCTAACGCCACGCACCTTCTTTGGAAAAATTTTTTTGTCGCCCCCCCCCCCCCCGAGCCGAAATCCTGGGTACGCCACTGATACGTACATACATGCGTCTTTCCTTCATTTCTCTGCGTTAAGAACGAAATGCAGATCGATATATAGATCAAACACGAGCAGACCCAAGCGTGCCGCCCCGCATATGTCTCGCGAAGCGGTCGCCTTATTGCATACTTCTATCACTTAACGCGCTCCATGATGACAGTCAGCCTTTTGGCGTGTTCGCCTTTGGAGCGAAAAGGGTGCGGCTTTTACACCTGAAAATAGGGTAGTTTAGCGGGTGTTAGACTGAATTATTATGAAAACGTTGTCAGCAGGAGATATGGAACGTGCTATGAAACGAAGGTTCAGAATGCAAGAAAAAAAACAGTCATTCTACAAGCAAGTCACCCATCAAAGGAAGGAATATATTTTGTAAGAGAAATGATCAATTAGATATCGAATACGTTTAAATATAGATTGCAATAGCAAATAGAGGAGCTAGGAGAGGCAAATAGACCCAGAATGTGACAAAGTCTCTAACTGAACTGACTGAAACACCATCAAACAAAAAGTCAAGCGAAGGACAACGACGTCTATCGTCACATTATCACAAAAAGCAGTTTCTAAAAAGGAAAATTGGAACTCGATCATGCGTTGTTAACAAGTATTGGACGACACAGCAAGAGTCAGCCGAGAAGCGGGACCTGAGAAAAAAAACCGAAGAAACAAGTACGAACTAAAGAGAACAAGCCAAACTCCTAAGTATGTCGCAGATGAAAAGACGTGGCAATGAAGAAGATGTAAAGCAGTTAGCCGGATTTTAACCATCGTCTGAAAAGAAAAAAAAGGAGAAGAAAAAGGGCGCAGTGAAAAGAAACACATATTTTGTAAACGGTTCTACATCTAAAATTAATCAGACTCGTCAGTACTTAACAATCTCAAAAGATCGCATTTCAATAGTTTTTTCCTGAATAGTTTTGAGTTAGCGGAAGAAATGACAGAATCGGGTAATTTCTGCATCCATGCAGTACGGACAAAAAAGGAGTCATAAAAGGCCTGATTAAATTTGTTGACGCTATTGAATCAGCACGGTAAAAGTTAAATCTACCTGTACGACTGTAGCAAGGCCTCCAAACCCAGAATTCACTAGGCAAAAGCTTAGTCACAAGACAAGTTATATGTGAAAAGCAAGTACTAAATCGGCAACAATCCTTCGGTAAAGCAGGCTATGGAGCTTGAGGCGGTCCAACCTACTTCTATAGGACGGGAGAGCAGTTGCGTAATCGTTGTTAGGGACAAGTCTATAGAAAAGGATACGAGTAAAAGTCATCTGAACTCTCTCCAAAGTCAACTTTTTTATATATGGACTCCATACTTGGCTAGTATTCTGACTGCGGGAGGACATAAGCCATATACATTCTGATGTAAACATCAAATGCTTCAAGTTACGTAGCAAAAGGAAGAGTGTGCAGAGCTGCCGTGCTAATTTTTCGATATGGGATCTTGGTTGAAGCTCTTGGTCAACTAACACTCCAAGACAGGCACTTTTCGTTAGGTTGACGGCAGTGCTATTAAGAGACGCTCAAGTCAGAATATTCTGCAGGCAGCCTCTCAGGGCCAGAGGTGCGAAAGTGGGAGCCGATTCTCCCCCTACCTTCACTTTTGAGCTGGTACAGAATGACCACCTTCATTTTTGGAATAAAAATTTTTTTGCTGGACAATAAAGAAGGAAGATAAGCAAAACAAACGCAATAAAAATTATTGAAAGCATATACAGAGTGTCCCAAAAAATGTGCCTACTGTTTGATTGTAAATCACTCTCTTGTAATGAAGTGTTTCGAGAAGCTTCAGGTACCATTTTGTAGAACGAGGTTCAACTTAGATTTACAGTGTAGAGCGAATCGCCGATCTCTCATTCTTACTGTAGGATTACGTAGAGACTTTGAAGAGGGTTTTCCATGAAAGGCCATATTTTGTTTCAAAAGAAACCAAAACAACCTGAAAACCCTCATACTGGGCTAACTAGAGTTGCTGATTCTAAATGTGAAGTTCGCAACTCTTCGCAATGCTTCATTAGAAAATTATGCGAGTAAGCAGTAGCAGACGTTTTTTTAAGTGTTCCTGAAAAGTGCGGTTACACCGTAGAAGGCTTCTCAACCTTGTAAAGAGTTGGGTATTGAACTCAGGGTCCATAAAAACCCTATTACACAAATTTCCACATTTTTTTGAAACGGCCGCTTTTTCCGCAGTGACACCATATGTTTAAAGTTTCTACCGTACTCCTACAGTAAGAATGAGCTATCGGCGATTCCCTCTACATTGTAAATCTAAGTTGAACCTCGCTCTACAAAATGGTACCCAAAGTTCTCGAAACACTTCACTACAAAGAGTTATTTACAAACCAACAGTGTGCACATTTTTTTGGGACACAATGTATTAGGTTGGAAACCAAGTTTTGCAACTGGTCTCATCACTTCCCTCTCACTCAACATGGCGCACTCAAATTTTGCCACTGCGTTGGTTGTTACGTAAACTACAAGAGCAGCTGCTGTCCTACCAAATTCTGACTTCGCAATGAGGGTTACGGTAGGTGCATGGTATGAAGGGGAAAAATTCAAAGTTTGACGGATTTGGCTGAAACTTAGCGTAGAGGTGCTATCCGACATGCTAATCACGAAAACGATAGTGAAATTGCGTGATAGGGGCTTTTTTGTAGGATTACTGTAGGTGTACGATATGGGGTCTCACCCTAAACAAGGAAAAAGGCGTTGATTCAACAAATGAATGTGATATTCGCGTTTGGCAGGTCAAATAACCTTACTATATAAAGTCTCGGCGGAATTTGAGCTTCGGACTCTTCAGTCATTGACGGTCGTCCCCAGCAGCTCTTGCGTACATAGACTCGTTCGACTTTATGGAGACGCCAAATCTTGACATGCCCCTAAATTTTGTTTCTTTCTTACTAGGCCAAAGGAGTCAACCTCCAGCAATAATTTGTAGACGAATCCGGATTACTGCGCATGGTCTAGGCTGCCAAAGGCTTCATTTTAGCTTGGGACCCCAAATTTTACTAGTTTTCGAAAAACGATTGAAACTTTTCTAGTTCGTATCCAAAATTTAGACCATTTGTGCTATCTTGTAGCTCACATTGCCTTCTACATGATGCCAAAGCTTGAGCGTGTCATATCCAAAGAGAGTGAAGTTATGAAACCAGTTGCAAAACTTAGTTTCCAGCCTAATATTTGAGAGAAGTTTCCGTTACATTGCAATTATCTATTGTTAGATGTAGAAGGGAAACGGTTTTTCTCTTTCATTCTCACTACACCAAGAACTCTTTTTCGAAAGAGGAGGGGGGGGGGGAGGGGTGGGTAGGGACGGAAAATTGTTCACTTGAAGAGGATGGCGCTAGCTCCGAGTATTTTTTGGAATGCTTTCCCATGTTCACAAAATTTTTTTTGCAAAATCAAGGTTTACGGAAAAGGGGAGTAGTAGCCGGCGTATAAATACTTTTTAAGCAAAAACTGCTAGCTGAAATCACACAAATCCATAACAGATGTAAACTATATATAAAACTCTATCCCCCCCCCCCCATTTCTCCACAGGTTCAACTTACATTTACAGTGTAGAGCGAATCGCCGATCTCTCATTCTTACTGTAGGATTACGGTAGAAAATTTGAAGAGGGTTTTGAGCCCTGAAAGGCCATATTTTGTTCCAAAAAGAAACCAAAACAACCTGGAAACCCTCATACTGGGCTAA